GGCTTGGTCGAACCCCGTGCCGCGCGTACAGATAGTTCGGAGGCGTACAGATAGTTCGGAATGGCTAGCTAGTTCAAACTATCTAGCCCGTGCTGCGTGAAATTCAAATCCCGGTCTTCATTTGCACGTTCGGTATGCATACATTACCCCGCTAGTTCAAACTAGCGGGGTAGTGTAGACATACCCCTTGAGTTCTTTGAAGGGGTTAACAAACATGCGGACAAGGGGGATCCAGTAGATATAGTATACTTGGATTTTCAGAAAGCCTTTGACAAGGTCCCTCACCAAAGGCTCTTGTGTAAATTACATGGCCATGGGATAAGAGGGAAGGTCCTTTCTTGGATTGAGAACTGGTTAAAAGACAGGAAACAAAGGGTAGGAATAAATGGTAAATTTTCAGATTGGAGAGGGGTAACTAGTGGTGTACCCCAAGGGTCAGTCCTGGGACCAATCCTTTTCAACTTATTCATAAATGATCTGGAACCAAGGGGTAAGCAGTGAGGTAGTAAAGTTTGCAGATGATACCAAACTGTTTAGGATAGTCAAGACAGAAAGCAGACTATGAGGGACTCCAAAAAGATCTCACTAAACTGAGTGATTGAGCAACAAAATGGCAAATGAAATTTAATGTGGATAAGTGTAAAGTAATGCACATCGGGAAAAATAACCCCAACTATACGTACAGTATGATGGGGGCTAATTTGGGTACGACAAATCAGGAAAGAGATCTTGGAGTTATCGTGGACAGTTGTCTGAAAACGTCCATACAATGTGCAGCGGTGGTCAAAAAGGCAAATAGGATGCTAGGAATTATTAGGAAAGGGATAGAAAATAAGACCCAGAATATCTTACTGCCCCTGTATAAAACTATGGTACGCCCACATCTTGAATACTGTGTACAGATGTGGTCTCCTCACCTCAAAAAAGATATTTTGGCCTTGGAAAGGGTTCAGAAAAGGGCAACTAAAATGATTAGGGGTTTGGAACGGGTCCCATATGAGGAGAGGTTAAAGCGACTGGGACTTTTCAGTTTAGAAAAGAGGAGACTGAGGGGGAATATGATAGAGGTCTATAAAATCATGAGTGGTTTGGAGAGGGTGGAAAAAGAAAAGTTATTTATTAGTTCCCATAATAGAAGAACTAGAGGACACCAAATGAAGTTAATGGGTAGCAGGTTTAAAACTAATAAAAGGAAGTTCTTCTTCACACAGCATGTAGTCAACCTGTGGAACTCCTTGCCAGAGGAGACTGTGAAAGGCTAGGACTATAACAGAGTTTAAAGAGAAGCTAGATAATTTCCTGGAGCTTAGGTCCATAAAAGGCTATTAGCCAGGGGATAGAAATGGTTTCCCTACTGCTGGCCACTGTCGGCAGACAGGCTACTGGGCTAGATGGACCTTTGGTCTGACCCAGTACGGCCGTTCTTATGTTCTTATGTAAAGTCTCCCACGATTCACTGGGAAAGAATCACAGAGCATCTCAGCCCCTGGCAGCGCTAAGAGCCGGGGGCCAAGACCCCGTGTCAGTCAGTGCAGGGCTTGTGTGGGCACATGCCAGTGTGGTCACTCAGACCCCCCGGGCCCGCCAAAGTTCCCATCACCTGAGTGAACCTGTTGCCGCGGAGATCCCCACCAAACTCCCGGTCCCCAGACTTTCGGGGCCCATGGTTTCCAAGGAGCTCTGCATCCGTATAGGCATCATCATGGGCAGCTGGATTGCTCAGCACTTACGGTTCATTTTACACATGGGAAACCGAGGCACAGGGAGACGTAAGTGACTTGCCAGAGTCACATAGGGACCTTGTGGGAGAGCCGGGACGTCAGCTCAGATTTTTCAAGTTCCAGGCTGGTGCACTAGCCACCGGGTCATCTAGTTGCCAGAGCTCACCTTGAACTCCAGTTCTGAAGCCTGCCCCTCATAGCATTGGATCGGGAGCCATACAGACCCGCTTCCTGCGGTCCGGTCCGGTCTGTGCTATACACACCTTACCTATAAAGCAGAGCTGGCCGGCCAGAGGAACCCAGCCTGGACCGGTCCCGGAGGCTGCAGTCAGTCCACGCAGCGGCCCGTCCTTCTCTACCCACAGCTCGGAGATGCAAGGAGACTGCAAAGGGTGACGCCGGAGAAGGAAGAAGCAATGAGATCAATATGATTTCTATTCCAGTGGCACATAAAGGCCTCAGGGTCTCATTACACTAGGGGCTGCTTGAACCCAGTGTAAGAGACAGGCCCTGCCCCGAACAGCGGATTGTATGAGGGGACAAGACAGAGAAGGATGAGAGGAAGGAAGGATGTTATTACTATTATTTGTATTAAAATAGCACCGAAATGGCCCAGTCTTGGGCCAGCCCCCATTGCGCAAGGTACTGTACAATCACAGAACAAAAAGTCCATCCCTATCCCAAGTAGCCAACAAGTGAAGAGTCAGCAGGGGGATAAGCTCTAGGAAGGAGAGAGATTCCCCTCCTCCCCCATTTGGAACTGAGACCCAGAGTGAGCAAATGACTTGCCCAAGGTCATATGGAGAGTCTGTGGCAGAGCTGTGAATTGAGCCTAGTCCTTTCTTACAGCCTTAACCATTAAGCATCTTTCCTCACATAGAAAACTGCAGCACCTAATGATGCCTGGAGCTAAGGGCAGGACGTAACCGAGCTGGGCTGGCTCTTCAGCTGTCTTGCTCTGAGCTGAGCTCTGCCTCAGACTTTGCCAGGCAGGCAGTTTCTCATAGGCTGGCTGTATAAAGCTCTATGTGCTGGGTGGATGGCTCGGGGCTGGGACTCAGAAGAGCTGTAATCAAGTCCTGCTCTTCCCTAGACCCCATGTGTAACCCTGGGAAAGTCACTTAACCTTGCTGGGCTTCTGTTCCCAGAGGGATAAGGGATCTTTCGGAAAAGGCTTTATTTTACGCAAGATCAGCGTCTAGACTGGCGCATTTTTCTGGCAAAGATCCATGCTGAAAAAAAGCGGCAGCCATTTTTATGCTAATGAAGCGGGGAAGATTTAAATCCCTGCTTCATTAGCAATTGCAATACGTCTAATTTACATCCCTTTTACGAAAAAGGGATGTAGTCTAGACGTAGCCTGTGTGTTTACACTGGAAGCTCTTTGGGGCGGAGACTCTGTTGCTGTGCTGCCAGATATTGTTATAGTGCTAACAATGAATAGGAGCCCTTTGCCCAAGCCACACAGCGTGCGAGCGCAGTAAACAGGCAGGAGAAATGGAGACGAGTGAAGGAGAATTAAGAATACCTCAGAGCCGATTGTTAGGGGTTCTTTGTAGCACAGGACAGGAAGCCTGGAGAGCCTTCAAAGGGATTTTTTGATTCTATTCCTGTGATCTTCCCTCCCCCTCCCATTTTTTCATTGGTTGTCCCCCCAGTATCATTTGATCCCTGCGTTTCCTCTGGTCTTACCCTCCAAAGAGGGGCTGATGGGTTTAATGTGCTAGGTTCCCACCGAGCATATGTTAGGGCCGTGTTTCTCAACCAGTGGTATGAGTACGCTTAGGGGTACTTGAGAGAAGTCTGGGGGGTACGTCAACACAGCTGAAATTTGGAGAAAACTGAATTTTTGTTTGAAGTTTTACAGCACTGTATTATTTTTGTACTTTTTACACCCAAAAATTTAATCTTCTGGCTGGTTACAATTATGTTGTTTAAACCAATGTGTTGCAGTGGAAGAAAAAAAAAAAACGTGTGTCTGAAAACTGTAGGTATGGGGGTACTCGTGTTTTTTTTTAAAAAGGGGTACTTCATAAAAAAAAGGTTGAGAAACACTGTGTTAGGCGACCAAAGAGGCTGTGTCAAGCTCTATAACCACTGACACACCAGTTCCTAAACCCCGAATGGCCACATCCTGAGCTGGAATGAATTCCCACAGCTCCACTGAAGTCCAGGGAGCGGCTCGGGTTTACCCAATTGCATGAACAGTAGCCTCACACGTGCGTGTACATACACCCGCCCCCCCATGCTCTGGCCTGGTAATGTGGGCACATGTGCACAGCCTGGGCTGGCATTTCCCGTTCTGCAATAACGCTTGCTTCACCAGCGCGCGAGACAGAGGACGGAGGCGTGGGAGAGAGATGGAAGGAGGGGGCAGAGAGGATACGGTGACGGGAGACAGAGGGAGCAGCTGGCGGGCTAATACCGCAGCACAGGAAGGGCTGGGTCGCGGTCCT